AAGCTGGGGGCAGAGCAGCTCCAATGGTCCGGCTGCCCGGAGCACTTCCGGGTTCCTGATGGTGGCGGACTATCAGGAGTGCCGGACCGTCAGATGCCGGACCATCAGAATTTTACTGTACATTGAATTAATTATATAATAGATGACATATCATTGTGTGAGTTTGGAGTGGCTGCATTACTCTTGAGAGGCAAAAACATTTTATAGCAGTCTCATAGATTTTGTATGTGGTGGCATATATTTCACAAAGGGAAAAATCTACAAATGTTTTAGAGGAAAATTTGTAAAAATATATTAAGGCAATTTCTTGTATCGCTCCATCTAGAAAGCCATTTACCATACAGTTGTATCAGCTGGAGAGGAAAGAAAAATTAAAATACCTCTAAAAATAACTAAAATCCACCAAGAGTCCTATTGTGATACCAATCCCTTAAAATTCAGTAGGATTATTATTTCCCGATTTAATGACTATATTAAAAAACATCTTACGGGACAGTTTGTATAATTAGCTATGGGTGAACGTCAGAGGGGTTGGGGTGAAATCCTGGCCTCACTGATGTCAATGTCAAAACTCTCATTGATGTCAATAAAGTCAGGATTTCATTCTTAAAGCTTTGAGTGTCAATTAATTAAAGCACAAAAGTATATATTCCTAAATGTTTTGCTGAATCAAGACTTTTTTTTTCAGTTAGCACTCACCAGAACAGCAAAATGCTATTTTCATTGGACGGCAGCATGTTTCCCACAAAATCTTCCTCCTGGAAGTGGTAACTTCCAGAGGAGAAGTTTCTTTCTAATCCTCTCGATTAGAGGCTGGTTTATATCCTGATGCATGAGGGTTTATATAAATTATTTTTTATCTGAAGCAGTGATACTCAACCTGAGGTTTGGGAGGCACAAGTGATGATTAATGCACCTCCTGCAACTCTTTGAAACTCATGATATTAAAACACTGTAATTTAATTATTAAACAATCTAAGTTATTAATCAATTAGGATGCTTTTGCTAGGTTATTAACCAATTGTAGAATACTTGCCCAGTCATTTTGCTCTGGATGTGTGTGTTTGTGTGTATAAATGTACATACAAAAATTGTTTCATTTACTATTTCTATACATAGTAAATAAAACTATGAATTCACACTAATGTGGTTCTTTTGAATAATGTTGATCACTAATTTGACTTCTGAACCAATAAGGTCTGAATATTACTGGTCTAAAGTAACTGTGGATGTTCAAGGTACGCATATAAATTGTTCATCACCCTTTTAGATCCAAGAAGCTCTTGGTTTCAATGATATATCGTGGCAATAAGTTTCGTGGGTTACTTATGCATTGTGCAAAATCAGTTTTAAGTTTGTTGCTTTTCAGTTCCATCAACTGTTCTTTTGTTTTTGTATTCTGAGAAGGAGAAAATGGCCTACAATTTCATTTCTCTTTAGACCATTCATTATTTTGTATAGCCCTATTGTGTCATCTTTGATTTCTTACTATTGTCATCTGTCATAGTGCCAGAGGCTAACACATTTGGAACTAGAATAAATAAGAGGGAAATAAAATGTCAAAGTTCACCTCTCCTAGAAGAAGAAGCCCACCAAGTGGTCTGAGAGGCAGGAGTACTTCACCACCTTCCAAACCACAACAAAGAGCTGCACAGAGAGCAGTGAAGCAGAGCTTGGCACATTCATTTATGCCCTGGAGAGTGAAGCTGAAACTATTTATAAAGTATTTCCTTTTGCGGAGGCGGGAGATAAGAATAACTCTGACATTGTTTTTTTTAAAAAAATGCAATGAGCATTTCATTCCCAAAAGGAATGTAATAGACAACAAGGATATATTCCCCAAGGGAGCAGAGGCCTAGAAAAAAGCATGAATGCTTTCATAAGGTAATTACAGGAACAGGTAAGGAATTGTGGATTTGCTTTCAGTAAAGAAGGTTGTATAGAAATATACTAATAGTCGGATTTTTTAAAAGAACTTTTTAAAAAATCACAGGTAGTATCTCAGCTAACGTGGGACAGCTGGTGCCACTAGTACAGGTTGGACCTCCCTTCTCCAGCACCCTCAGGATCTGTGTGGTCCCAAAATATGGAGTTTGCCAGATGAGGGGAGGTCAAGGCTCCCTCCGTGGCTGTAGGCTCTGCTTGGAGCTGCACTCCCTGCTTCCTATTGCTGCCTCTAGCCCCACACTGTGGCAGGCCTGGCCAGGACTGCATCCTCCACTGTGATGCTCCCAGACAGTTGCCGTCCCTGCTGCCTCCATCCCCGGCAGTGGCTGTGCCCCCCTCTTCCCACCACGGTACTGGTCTGGGCTGCATGCCCCGGTGACTACAGCCCCACCCAGGGATGAGCTCCCTGTGTTAGCCCCAGCCAAGACTGTGCTCCTGCACTGTGCGGCAGCCCCAACTGAGTCTGCGCTTCTCACAGCTCCAGTTACCTGTAGGCCTGACTGGGGCTGTGCTCCTTGCTACCAGCCCTGGCCAGGGCTGTCATCTCCCCTATGCTGGCCCTCCTGGGGCTGGGCTCCCTACCACCAGCCCA